GAACCCCGACAGGTGCACGCTACAAGCTGCATCGTCTGTCTAGGGAGAAAGGGTTACACTGTCTTTCCTGGGGAGACCCGTTCCCTTGTTGTGTAAACAACTCAGCGCGCGCACCTAAGGAGGCTTACCTCCCTAATAGCCCGTGGTGGCGCGTACGTATCTCTAGTGAGATGTACGAAAGGATTGACAACCTGAAATCTCTTTACGACCGTGTCGCGAAGACTTTCTCCGGCGGTCCTTCTGCGGCACAGGATGTGCCGCGTCGTACTGCTCGACCAGACCCATTACGTCAACCATCAGTTGGGAGCGGGGCTCCCAAATATCCCAGGACGAGGGATAACCACGCCACCGGACGAGATAACTCGTCCGACGTCCGTTCACGTCGCGGTGGTTCAACAGCCGCTCAACCAGATAGCACTGGCCACCGCGAGAGTCCTCCAATGGAGATGGAGGAGGAGGGAAAGCGCTCATCAAACTATCGCGGGGGAGCGTGCGTCCCCGAGAGCCTCTTTGATCGCGTAACTCTTGCGTTGCGCGGCGACCTCGGGCATGAGCGTGACAGGCGTCCTCAACTGGCGGACACTGTCTTGAAGCATCGAGCTGAGTTTGTCTTTGCTCAGCTTGAGAACGAGAGAGCTCTGACGTCTCTGCGTGACGAGCTAAGGGTAGCTCGTGGGGATGTTGAGCGGTCTCGGGCTGAGATAACTGCTCTTCAGACCCTTGTCGATGCCCACCATCGGGAGCACAAGGCTTTCTGCGAGATGCTTAAGCGCAAGGGCGTTCTTCATCGGAAGAAGCAGCGTACTGATGGTACGGCTTAAGCCTACCAACGTAAAACGTGGGATGCGTTCGCATCTTACGTGGCACCTCGATCGTGTGTGCATTTCCTAGGCGACGCAATACACGAAATGGGCCGATGTACTTGGGTAGTAGTTTACTGCTACCCAAGTTAGTCACTACATGCTTTGGTAGATTAACCGTAGACAGTAGGACTAAGTCACCTTTATTAAATAAAAGAGTGTTTGCCCTTCCATTCTTGTCAGCGTTTTGCTTTTGCTTATCTACCGCTTCGGCGATGGAGTCTTGCACAAAACGGACTACCGTTTCACGAGCCAGTATGAACTCATCTGCTGACTCGTTAGGTTCATTGCGCTGTGAGTGCACTGCAGCAACATCAACCTTTTCTTCAGTGAGAGCTTCCTCGCTCTCACTGGCATCATCTTCTTCGATGTCGATGTTATCGATATCGGCATCAAACGCAATGACCTCTTCGTCAGAGCGTGATGAGCGTGAACCAAATCGGTATTTGCTCGCGCGAGTCCCTCCCCCCTTAAACCAGAGTCACACTCGAGTAAGTTAGGTACACGCGGATGGCGAAAGCCATTCACGTAAAACGGTGTATGTGTCGTGGACGCATGCACCGAGTTGTTAATGGCAAACTCTACCATTGGCAAGAACTCACTCCAACTCTTAAAGGAGTGTACGTATCCTCGAAGTATCTCTTCGAGGACACAGTTGGCACGTTCCGTCTGACCATCTGACTCTGGATGATCAGATGTAGACATCTTCAAGCGCGTTCCGAGTGATTTGAACACGGAACGCCAGAAATCAGCTGTGAAGCGTGGATCTCTGTCTGATACGAGTTCACGGGGCAACCCATGAAGTCGAAAGATGGTGTAGATAAAGACACAAGCACAGCCACTAGCCGTGATTGACTCAGGTACAGCCACAAGGTGTACCATTTTGCTGAATCGGTTAACAAATACGAGAATACCCGTATTCCCGCGTGACCCGAAGACAAAATCCATTGAGATGGATTCCCAGCACTCATCCGGAACCGGTAGAGGCTGTAAAGGTGCACGCAGTGAAGGACTTGACTTCACTCGTTGACAGACTTCGCATGCACGAACATACTTGCGCACAAACTGATACTGGCGGGGCCAGAAAAAGTCTCGACTCACAGTGAGATGTGTTTTCTCACGGCCACGATGTCCTACTATAGGAGCATCGTGATACTCGAACATGATCCGCAAACGCAGATCAGTATCATCTGGAATGACAACACGTGGTGTGTCACCAGAAACGGCTGCGTAATACAGCAAACCGTTGCGAGAAGTGTATCGATCTGATGCAGATCGATACGCAGACGACAATCGTTTCAACGTTTATCGAGATGTTTGTGCGAGATGTGTCAACAACTTCGCAATCTCACCATCTTGGGCATACTCCCGCCTCACATCATATGTAACGTTGAATATGGTACTGAGGACGTCATAACCGCAACAGTGGCTGTCTCACTGTTGGGTTGCACGACTGGTCCAAAGTCGGGCCGACGTGAGATTACATCAGCGACGACATTAAGTCGTCCTGATTTGTACTCGACCGTGAAGTTGTACTCTGCAAAGAATGACAACCACCGCGCCATTCGTTGTGAAAGGTGCGGGCTGTTCAATACCGTGCGTAATGACGCATGGTCAGTGTAAACAATGAAGGGTCTATCTCCTAATAGATAGACTCTGAGCTTCGCGAGTGCATAGTTCAAGGCAAGTAGTTCATTGTCATGCACTGGATAGTTCCGCTCAGCTGGTTGCAGCTGACGCGACTGATAGCAGACGACGCGTTCAACGCCTTCAAGATCGTACTGCATTAATGCACAGACGATTGCGAAATCGCTGGCATCACAGACCACATGAAATGGCCTGTCCTGATCGGCAATTGCTAGGACTGGGGATTGTATCAAGCTCTGCTTGATACCATCAACGGAGCGCTGACATTCAGCGTTCCATAACCACCTCTCGTTCTTTTTCAACAAACGAGAGAGGTGTACAGTCATCTCGGCGTAATTGCTTGAATACTTATGCAAATACGTCGCTAGCCCAAGGAATTTTCGAAGACCTTTGACATCAACCGGCACAGGCCAGTCGGTGATCGCCTTGATCTTTTCGGGATCAGGACGTACACCGTTCTTACCAACGATGCACCCAAGAAGTGGTATTTCGCTTGCTGCAAATGTACACTTCTTGAGGTTTGCATACAATTGATGCTTTCGCATGATTGTAAGAACCTGTTAGACGTGGTACCTGTGAACCTCAACGTCCGACTTTCCATCCTTAGCTCGACTATGGATCAATACGTCATCGAAATAACTCGGCGCGAATTCTCGTGCTGGTCTCAACAGATGTGTATCACATCTGTTTAACGTGGCAGGGGCATTACTAAGCCCTTGTGGCATTACTAGCCATTCCCAGAGCATGCCGCTAGGCGTGCTAACTGCGGTATAGGGTATATCCCGTTCCCGCATAAGGATTTGATAGAAGCCATCCATCAAATCCATGGACGAAAATATGGTACTCTTTGACATACCATCAATGATTACGTCCTTCCTTGGTATCGGCGTCTGAGACGGTACCGTTGCAGCATTCAACTTGTTAAATGCATGCACAATCCACCACCCTCCTGTTGCTTTTCGCACACAGAATGTCGGAGAGCTATGTGGGGAAGTTGATTCCCTCATATGGCCCGCAGCTAAACGATCGGCAAAGAACTTGTCGATCACAAATACTTGTTCACGAGGCAGTGGCCACTGCTTCATGACACAGTACTTCGAGCCTGGTTTAAGCTCGACCTCGTGTCGAATACCTTTATCCTTCGGTAATTCGCACGGAACAGTTTCAGAGAATACATCCTTGAATTCAACAAAATTTTCGTAGAGAGAATTTGTCTTGAGCGATTCCCACGATTGGGAGTCATATCGCTCAACTCGTGTCTTTTCATCGAGGACACTCTCGTCCATAGATGAACTACTGAGAACTCTCTCGTTCTCAGTAAACACTGTTGCTGACCTTATGTCGGTTACACACTCGTCTTCAGCGACGAGTACGAAGATCTGCTTGACTTTGCCACTACGCAGATCACGCAAGAACCTTTTATATTCGAGCGTTGGCAACTGAGTGATCTCCGAAGTCAACTTCGGAGGCGCAATCAGATCAAGTGTATAAGCGCCTACGCTTGATCCGTTATTGACTATGACTTCAATGTCTCTGTCATTTCCTGGGGACTTGTTCCCTCAGGCCTCGAAGGACTTACTCCTTCGGCTTCCCGGGGACTTATTCCCGCGGGTTTCGGGGAACTTATTTCCGCCGTTTTGTAATCTTGGGACTTATTCCCTTTACTTCCTGTAGCTGGGGTTGCGCAACCACAGCGAGATCCTCTACGAAAGACTCTCCAGTCGATCTGGGATTATCGTTTCGCTTAACCTGAGCGATCGATGGTTTCTCTTCTAGATGTTAACCGCTAGGGATACATCTTTGTCCCGGTCCACTCGACTTATTCGAGTGGTGGACCTTCGGTGCAGCTTGTGTTCCCTCACAGCCGCCGGAACTTTGCTCCGAAGTGTAACTGTTTGTTACACTAAGGTTTTGTGCAGTCGTACTAACGACCGTACCACAAGTGAGGCCATCGCACTCACTCGTAGTACATCCACACGCTTGTGGACGCTCCCAAAACGTTCATCAGATGGCCATCTGATGAACAAGCGGCAGGCATCGTTACTGTTCAATGTTGCCAGTTTACCCGTGGTTCGTACCTTCTGAGCCACGGTATTCCAAGGATGACATCAGATTTGTCATCTAAATCCAATACGATAAAGTCATCGTCATATTGGGTATCTTCTAGGGTATAGTGAATCTTCACTATACGCTTCATGACGGTTACGGATGCGCCTGTCGCAAGACGTACCGTCATCCTCGTAGGAGGTGTGTCACATTCAACAAACTTTAAGTGAACATCTTCTAGCGATTTGCGTTGCGCAAAATTGTTGGACGCCCCACAATCGCCAAGAGCTCGAAGGGACAACTTATTCGTCACTTCGAGTTTCAAGGTAATGAGTGAGACCTCATTACCTAGAGCAGCAACGCACAACGTTTATGTGTTGGGAGCAACCTTCATCAAGAGGCCTACAAATTCTATTGGCGTTGCTGGATCAGTAGGGTGCTCCGCACCTACTGATCCTGTCCGTTTTTTGACGGTCCATCCCGTTGTTGCGTCTTTGCACCAACTGCGGACCCTCGTCCCTGCCCCTTTCTCATGGGTGGACGGTCACTACGCCCAGTGTCGCGAGACACTGGACGAGGGGCACTACACTCGTAAGCGTAGTGTCCTGTCTTTTGACATCTGTTGCATCTCTGCAACTTCTTGTAGCCTGTAGAGCGAGCCTTCTCGCTCTCTTCATAACAGAGTTCCATCGGCTCTGGACCTCCGTTGTCATATCGTCTCGGTTGACGATATGATGTCGAGCTGGCGCGAGCCTGTCTCAGACTGAAGTCTTCCTGTTCCGCAATGGAAATGGCTTGTTCTAGTGAATCTAGTTCAAGTCGGAACAGGTGAGTCTTGACGGGACCATCCGCAAGACCCTGCACGAACACCGAAACCAACGTGTGTTCATCCACCGGATTGGAACTTATACAACTCATGAGATGTCATGTATGTTGTGCGTAAGCGTGCACATCACGCTTACCTTTTTTGAGCTTTAAAAGTTCGGTTCGAGCTCGGAACTCAGCTCTAGGCGGTTCAAACGTTTGTCTGAGCCGCGACTTGAAGACTTTAACGACCCAAACGCATATGGGTCGTGCAACTTGAGCCCCAGTGCCCAAGTCTTGGCACGTCCTGCCAGATTTGACTGGGAAAATGCAACTTGCATTTCCCCGTCGTCGATGCGACGCGCCCTTATGGCATCGTCCAATTCGACGAACCATCTCAAGAGGGAGTCTTCTTCGACCCCCCTATACTTGAAGATGTCAATCTTCACGGTCTCGGGTCGACGCGAATCCATAGACCCACCAGCAGCAGCCTGCTGCTGTCTCAACAGTTCAAACTGTTGAACACCCTGTTCTCTCAACAACTCTGCTTGTTGAGAACCTTGTTGGTGAAGCAAGGCTACTTTCTCGCGTTCGGCGTCAAGTTCATTTTGAATGAACTTGGCGATAGTAGCATGTCGGGCATCTCTATTGAGAGCCTCTAGCATGACGCTAACAGCATGGATGCCCAAGGTTGAACCCATCCGTTCAACCGCATCCCATTCGACATCGCTCAAATGGGAGTAGCCGTCACGCGTAGCGTGAAAGCTTTGGTCATCTTCATCATCTAACATATTCATGTTAGATGTGAACGTGGTCCTTGGACGGACTACGAAGTGCTACCAGGTGTAACGGGGCACCCTGAAGCTTGTACTGGTGACAGTACAAGCTTCAGGGTGCCACGTTACAAGACGAGGATAAACAGTGGTTTATTTACAGACATTAACTATGACAAATACAGTTCTACTTTTTACTTTAACCAAGTACTCGATTCTCCTTACCGTCTTCCTCTGCACGTACCAGTGTATGTAAAGTTACGCGGCACCGCCTTATTTAGTCATCAGAATAAGTAGCTTGCACTGCCATCAGTACAAGCTTCAGGGTGCCCCGTTACAGTCGGCGGTTGAGGAATGGGTCGTACGTTGTGTAATAAGAAATAGAAGCACAGAATTGCTGAGTCAAAGCTACTCGTTGGTGTTTTTCATACATGAAGGAGACGAATATCAGAAAACAGAGACGGACGGTGATCATGCCGTCAAATGCAATGTGCGGCCAGCCATACACATGTAATTGAATGGAAGAAAAAGGTTGACGGAGCTTCCTCTGCCACTGACAGTGAAGGGTGAGCAATACTGCATTCTATTTTAATTTCATCAGTAGGGCGTATAAAAATAACTTCGCTAGTACTGTTAGCCAGAGGTGTGAGATTTAGCTGCCCCTCAGCGTCGTACGTTCGCTCGTTAGCTCTTTGTTTGCCCCAGATAAATGGGGTGAGGCAATTATGTGCGCGTACTGGTGCCTGCGCCACACGATTCGTGGTCGCAATTAGTGACCTCGGTATAGTTATATCAATATTACATTTCCATCAACGAGAGAAGGGAGTATGCCATATGCTACGTAGTACTTAGCACGACGCATCAGGGACATCTAACCTCATTCGAAAACTACATCATAGAAGGGGCAGGCTGCATCGCGCTGAGTAGGGTGTGTAAGGTAAACCTAGAGATATTTAAATAGAAGATAAAGGGCACACACACAGAAAGTAGGTTTTTAGAGTTTGACGACCACCTTGCACATATTCACTGAATGCTTTGCCCTTCGGGCTCGCCTTTTGCAAACAAATTTTATTGAAGTACATCTAGCTCTACTACAGCTGTGTCGTGTTCTTGATGTTTCGGCCAATTCAACGGAAGATAACATCGTTCAATCAAACCCGACTCTGGAGCTGCAGCGAACAGAACAGACAAATCGATAGCACACAAAGTTAGTATTGTAATAAATTTGACGCAAACCGTCTAGTTCAGGCAGATCAACAGCCTCACCTCTTTTTATTCCTCGGCTGTAGTAGCGCGTGCAGATACTCTCTGATCTTCAATCCTTGGTGTCAATAAGTGCTTCGCACAATTAACCTCGTCTTAAGCTGCAACCGCGTCCCCCCTGGCAGCTTTACGACCCGCTACTTCAAATGATTTCCTTGATCGCCAATCTGGGTCGCAAATGGCTGCACACCCCGTTGTACAGCTTCAGTGTTTGCAAATCAGTATCTTGCTCTGTGGACGCCAATATGGGATGGGTTGCCAGCTTCTGGGCCACCAAAGAAAAGTGAATTTCTTTCGTGTCGTGCAGCATGCCGGCCACTTTCTCTACGGTAAATCCACGATTCATCCAGGTAGTCATCACCCCGGCCAGCAGTTTTAGTGCATAGTCCTCGTTTCGTTTTCTCACCAAACTGCGGGTCAGAAGGAAGGACAATTGGCTTTCGCCGTATGTTGCCTTCAGCGCCTGCACCAGCTCTGTATCGCGCTTTTCAACCCCGAAAATGTACTCGACAAAGTCCTCGAGCGCCTTGATCCGATTAAAGTTGAGTTCTGCGTTGGTCAGTTTAAGATCCGCTACAACATCATTTACGCTTAGTTGCTTCGTCGCCCAATGCTCCGACAGGTAACGTAGCCCCTTTTTACCCATCTTGATATCGCGAGTTTTCTTACCAAAACGTACAAGTTTCCCTGCACTATCCGCCACCTCAAGGACTTGATTGGGATGTATCAAGTCTTGAACTGTAGACTTTTCCAAAGCCACACCAGGAGATATCCGCATTGCAGACTTTGAACGAACCGCGTGAGAAACAGGCATTTCGCCCCACTGATGCTTCGGACCATCCCTGATCAAGTGTGAAGAAATCGTGGAAATGAGCTGCTTGCTTAATTGAGGAGCGCTATCTTCCACGGATAAAATCACCGGCATAGGCCCCGCCCCCGATCTTTGTTCATCGTCCGCAAGTCTGGTAGACCTTAACACCCTAGCAGCGTGAACGGGGTCGTGGGCAGTGTCAGGCGAAGCCAAAGGTGAGTTGGCGACAGCCGTGGACATAACTGTTGAAGTGTTGACGCACGCCATAATGGCAGCGATGGTAACACTGTCGAGCGTGTACACTCGCATTGTCGGTCAAGAGGAGGAGCTGGTCTGTTGAAGGCTTGGCAGATTGAGGAATGGCGATTCCAGTCAAGCCTCGTAGTAGGCCGTGGATGGTGCAAGGCGAAAAATCCACCCACGAGCTCATTGAAATACTGCTCCTTGTATTGCAATATATTTCACAGCTCATCGTACTGAATGTCGATTTGCATCGCGCGTTAAAACCATGCAGTACCAGCGATCAGCTTTTTCAACTGCCTTTCGTCGAAGACAAGTTCTACACCGCACCCAGCTGATCCAGCCGAAGTGCAACGACGTTTCGCAGGAAAAAAGGTGGACAACACGCGACTCCTTGAGAAGATTCTTGCTGTCCGTTCGGAAGCAAGCTGACCAATATTTGGAAAGCTGTGACGCCAACATGATTGAGCTGAGATCAAAAGATTACGTTGTGTTCAACGTGCACTTCAGCTGATTAACGGGCATGTAGGCCGGGATCTATAGAATTGCACAAGAACATGGATACATGAAGACACCATCGCTATGATGGCGGTCTAGGAACACTCACAAGGACGGATCCACTTGCTAGGTCGTAATCAAATATTGCCTTGAGAGCAACTAGTGCCAATCATTAGCAAGGAGCGGGAATTGAAAGATTGTTCCTGCCAAACCTGGGTTGTATTCGTCAAGTGTACACTATAGGTTCCCGCCAGTCTCACGTAGTTCCTATCGATCAGAGCAGTTTGCAACCATGAGCCACCATCTACAAGGTAGTTTCCTACCGTTAGCCACCGTCAAAAAGGCAGTTTCTGACACGGAGTGAGCTATTCCAGTGGTCGGTGGGCTTCCTGCAAATGACCGTACGGTACAAATCATAATCAGCCCGAAACGGTGTCAGAGCCATTTTGCATGAACTGGTCAGAAACAGATTTTCAACGTCGCATACGATAAAGGAGCTTTGTAACTTCGTAGAAGCGCTCATTGCGACCAGAAAGTGTTGCACCATGAATGGGGTAATTCTTCACGTACGCCTTTCTTCCCTCTAAATTCACCTACATACTCTGCAGGCTATCCATTTAGCTTTAGTGAACTATTTACTAGCAGATACCAAGAAAAGATGTACTGTGTCACAAGAAATGCCTATTTCTTACAAGAGAACGTCTACTATTTACAAGAGTCAGGCCTCTTTCCTTCTATGTCACACTATCGTCTGCATGACGATGAGCCATCACGTTTTCACCCTTGGTGATGCAGCTCACGATATCGAACCTTCTGTCGCTCCTGCTTCGGTCTCCTTGGCTAGTCTGATGCTGAAATTGATGCCTCTGCAAATGTTGAATACACTATTGATTTAGCAATCCTTTCGCTCCCGCTCCATCAACGGGTTGTAAAGACATTTCCCAGTCGGGCCATTTCGGAAGTCAAGAGGAAGCCGATCGTACTGTCAAGCAATATGCTGTATGCCTAGGTCTTGCTGTTAGCATTCCGAACTAGATCGCGCGGCATCTAGCGCATTCTTCCTGATTCTTGCAAGAAAACGACCATTAAAAGTTCCAGGGACGGTTGATGTCATTACTAGACCCTGGAACTAAAATTTTTAGCAGTTCGCATGAGTTTGCGATCACATTTGACAAGAACTTGCCGGATATTGAGCCCGGCCGACACTTTTCAAACAACTGCCTCTTTAGACACATTCGAACATAATCGAAGTAAAGCTGTCGTATTTCCCAGCGGCGCGGCGTACGTAATGAGAAGGAGACTGAGTCTAGGCCACGTTTGACTAGATAAATCATTTGAAGCTGCTGCACAGAAGTGTGCAAATGTATTAATTAAAATGCCATTTAACACATGCCGTACCTTTGCATGTATTTAGGTGTTACTAAACGACCCCAAAGGAGACGAGCGTGATTCCGTGAGCAAGCGATGTCTACAACGTCTTCCAATATGCCAAGTCAAAAGCCAACGCGGGAGAACGAATGCAAATGCTAAATGCGCAAATCTTATGCAAGTTTCGCCTCAATCCGTTTGGTGCCGAATCCACCATCATGCTGTCGACATGCTCTTGCGCAGTCACTAATGGACAATCCTTCAAACATGAAAGAGAAAGACAATAGTATGAATTCTGTGGTACGAAGGAGTTCGTGTGATGTTGAAGCAACGGGGGCTTGAATAAAATGGATATTCTTGAGCTAAATTATGGGTGTGTCTTGTTAAATGGTGGATGTTCTCTCAGTAAATGTCAACCTAAATTATTTAAGTAAAAAAGAATAGCCTGCGAATCATGTAGGTGTATTAGACAATAAATGTAGGTGTATTTAGAGTTAACTTTTATGAATGCGATATGTTCAAAACACGTGGCTACGTCACGACGCCAACATTACTGAATTCAATTCTCGGTTGGTCGTTGAGGAAGCCGGTGCTTCGCTACGGCTCTACTCTATCTGTTGCGATGACAGTAAACACGAATAGCGTGTGACTAAAGCAATTTTGTCACATGCAGACGAGACTGACGCGGTCACAACCGACTACATACGTTACCCACCACGCCACTTCTGCTGCAGCTGCCTCTGCTAACTCGCGTATAAACGAGGGGTCGTAGCCAACAGCTCAATCAAGACACGAGTGCTTAAGCGTAAGATGTATTAATATTTCTTCGATGAGGCAAACATGACTGGTAAACATCGAGCGCAATGCAGCTCCGCCATGTCCAGGAATTCGTGCTGCTACTGAATGGATAAGGTACTACTATTTACCCCACAACCACTGTGCTACCAACTCTGATGTACATTGGTGCTGGCGTCCTCCATGAAGTACGTCGTGCACTATGTCAAGGCAGCAGCAGCTTTGAAAAAACGAGGTGATCCAGTTCAACGGCTTGTACACACAAGGTAGTGAGATCCATGCAGATTCGGCTGTCGTTGCGGTGACGCTCGTGATCGACACGCCTATCATCAGGTAGCAATTTGGCGCTGACTTTTTTATTCGTACCTCCTCGTGGTCTATTAAGCACTGCCAAGTCTGTAACAGCTGTCACTCCTAACACGACGATGGCAAGTAAATTGGTGCACGGTCAGACGGCCTCTGCTTCAACGTCTGCGAGCTCATTACAACTGGTGTCGGGTACGATCATCGAGTTCGTCTTAATCTTGGACAACTGGATACAGATGCGCTGGTTCACTCTGATCTCGTGGACTCTGAGATGTCATGCTGCTGGAGCTCTTGGGAGACAAAAATTCTTTCGCGCATGTTTTATGGATAAGACTTCCTTATACGCCTTCGTATTCATTGATCATGATCTTTAGATCTCTTTGATGGGGCACAAGCAGTGCGAAGGTCGAAGTGTGGGGGAACGGAACGCGATCATTCTATTCCGCTATGTGTTAAAAAGGTCTGGCGCTTGCTCAGCGCTTATGACGGTGCGCAGTGCGCTTGCGGTTGCTCGTACCGGCAGACGTGTTCTTGTGCATGACTATGTAGTCGAGTATTTCAACTGTTAAGCTGCCTGACGATTTTCTGCTGCTCAGTTGAGCACGAAGGCGTTTAGCGTGTGTTATGAGCCGTGGACACACACAAGCGGTGGATGGGGCATGTGTCAAGTGGATTAAGTGTTGACCGACACTACATTGTCGACTGCTTGTGTGCGAATATCGTTGGCTCGAGGCTCTGCCACTTGTCGGTAGTGAGTGTGAAGTTGATCGACTGCGCACTCGGTTTTTTCTACAAAAGTATGAGTCGAACTGTGGCCAAGTGCCCATATGGATGTGAGTCGGACGGCCGGTGTTCGGTCAGGAGCGGGTATAGAACGACTTTTTACCGCGGTACAGTCGAATCTGTGTTACGCTGAGATGTCATGTTTAAGATGTTGACTACAGGACTCCCTCTACTAACCTGTTAGCCTCGGCGGACACATATTCTATAAGTTAGCAGAGGGTACTAGCTGTCGGGTTATGGTGGCGTCGCACGTTGCAAAATATACCTATCAAATTAAAATAAATCACATGAATGATTAGTAGTCATGCAACACCGCACAAAAAAGACAATAAACGCTTGCCAGATGCACTATCTTAGTCAATTATAAAAGGATTAAAATTGAAAAGCTCACTCAGTACCACTCACTACTCTTCGCCCACGCTAAAAAATCTACCCAAAATTAGCATAATTCTAGCATCAAAGACTACTATCACAGATCCTCATCTTTTGTTTGTACCATTTTATAAGACTGTGCCTCAAGTTCAGAGACACTTTGCTATCCTTGTCCTTTGCTAGGGTTGTGGTTCTTTGTTAGTATGACGGTGTAATTTTCTGGCTGACTCTTCATTTGTCACTTAATAATCTTCATAAAGGAGACGGCAGTGCCCATCCAAATTGTAATGATCAAGCGAATCTGAAACAGTGTAGAAAGAGAAGGAATGAAAAGAAGGGGCTGAAGCACAGGAGGAGACAGTTGCAGATCGATTGACCGATTGTAGACAGATTAACTAATTGCAGACGAATTGACTAATCGCGAGAAGATACCCATCTTGAGTAGTCCCTGGACCTTGTGTTCGCTGTCCCAGAACAGCCATCGTTAAAAATTGCTACTCCGCAGCCTACCGAATTAAAATTGGAGTTTCAACGTCACACAAACCGCCTAGATGCTTGGCTTGAATTAATTGCTACCCCACGGCTAAAACAATTTCTCCATACATAAACTTACATTTCACTTCATGGCTACTAGTATCAAGTAATAAGATAGCGACCATAGAACAATCATAGAATGACCCTGGTGGACGTCCAATCCTTCAATATAGCAGAAGCTATTAGTTATTGTGGGAAACGTTATCAGAGGAAGCAGTAGGTGACCATCGAAACCCCAATAAACCGAGTGTATAAATACTGTATACTGCGCACTATAAACCACATTTGTAAACGAATACGAGGAAGTATTTATTCGATATCGTGCCACCAAAACAAGTCGATTTAATTTTTAAGTAGAAAGAGATTGACTGAGATAATTTAATGTCTAACATCCATTATGCTTGTGTGTTTGA